AAAAACAAAAAAAGTTATTTTTAAGCATTAGGGGAGACCAAAAATGATTTCACGTTTTTATTATTATTTAAAAAAAAAAAAAAAAAAAGATTTTTAGACACACCCCTCCCCTTAGACTGTTACAAAATGTCGACACGTCCAGCACGCGTTACACATAGTCAAACATGGATCAACCTCTCAAGTACTTGATTTGTGATGTCATTTATGGACGGCCAATTAAAGTACCGTAGTGAAATCGGCTAATAATTTGAGCGTATTTCGTTTAAATTATGGCGCTATTTTCTCATTTGTAAAATTTAATTACTTTTCAAGTTGTCTTTGAGCGAACATATGTCGTGCAATAACAAATATATCGTTAATTATTATGAACCAAGCATAAAATAAATATTGCAATTAAAGGTACCCGGGTACCTATAGATGCAGCCAAAATTAATTCCAAGAAAAAGATTGCTTGACGTTACAATTTTATCTCAAGTTCCAAGAGAACTCTAATTAATCTAATACAAAACAATTTGTTAAAATAGTATGCTGGCTAAGCGTGATAAAATTAATTTCATTTGTAGTTTGAAAAGCAATTCAAATAAAATATAATTAGTTAACAACGTCGAGAGTGTATAAAGACTATTATAATTTAACCTAATGTGGGGGTAAAAATAATTAACAATTATATTCCCAATAGGCCGTTTCTAGACACAAATAACACAATATGGCGGATTGACAACGATGTAAACAATCATTATGAATGATAAACTTGTTAAACGGAATACAAATTAAATGGTTCATTATTTTGTAATTATTCTTGATTAAAGGAGTGGAGATAAATGCTTTTCAACTTAATTTGAAGCTGTAACAACGATCTTTAAAATGGCAGCTTCGATTCGGCGTAACACATACATTTTAGAAAAGTAAGTAGGCCTAGCTAGTCTAAGCCTAAGTTGAAAAATAAGTAAAAGTTAAAGTAGTAAGTAAATAGTAAATTAGTTTAGACAGTAGTAATTCAATAATGAGTAATGGGTAATCCCTTATTTTAGCATTTAATGCGACCAATTATTTCTAGTGAAATAAATTAAAAACTTCCTGTTTACCTGATGAGACTACATCAAAATCAAAACACATAATGTCACATGTTGATGTTGTTATCTGTTATAGTCACCATTGAAATTTATTGTTTTCCAGTTAGTTTGTAGTAATAGTAGTAGTGTATTTTTGTTGTTCTAAGGGATTTTTAATATAAAACACGTAGTTAAAAAATCAGTCGATCGATAACTTTGATTATTGTCTATTCAGCAAATGTATGGCCAGATGTTTTCCTTTTTCCCAGTCTCAGACTAAAAGCAATATTCTTGCAGTTAAAGTATGGTAAAAATAATAGAAAATTAGGCTGAGCGACCTTATGGTAATCTGGGTTATGGGGATAAGCACGATTTAATATGAAAGACCTTTGCTTTGAATTTCAAAAAAAATTTATATGCGAAGATGCCTTATAAATACCAAAGATTTTCAAAATAATGGTCTATTGAAAAAGCAAAATAGTTGGATGAAAATGTAGGCCAATATGTCTTCCAAAGTGAAAAGGTGGAAGCGGAACTCAACTAGATGTAAAAAATGCTCATTTATTAATGAATTGACCATCACATTAAGAAATTTAAAAGTCAGATTTTACTACGCCGACGCCCATTCCCGACATAAAATTTGCAGTGGTCTCACTTGCTTTACTGAAGTATCTTTGTCTGATGGTTTTAATATAATGACACGGATGATTGGCATTACACCTACATTCTCCCCCCCCCCCTTTTCCCTAAGTGCTTTTGGAATATATGGATAATCCCTTGAAGCCTTGGGGGTTGGGAAGGGGGTTAGGATTAGAAGCTGTTTACCAACCGAAGCAGGAGACACACACAATCAGCATTAACTTATGAATCAAGTTATTTGACCAAGAGTGACTGGGAACTCGTTATAACATAAAAAAAATAAAATGATGTCAAAGAATGACAATGTAGGTGTTCAAGTGTTGTGGCATAAGCAGCTGACCAGAGAAACTGTGCAAAACAGGGAGCCCAGGCAAGAGACGCAAAGTGTAGAGTCTTGACATTATAGAATTCCACCAACATCAAAGAGCAACCAATGTCCAAGCCACCGATGGAACAGGGAACCAGTGGCATGGCTTGCCTTGGTGGTGTTGATGTGATGACTTTGTTTAAGTTCGGCTTAAATTTAGTGGTGTAGAAGAATGATTTATAGCAGAGCTCGGAGCTTTGGAGCAAGGTTGTTCCCAGAGCTGGAGTTGATGAAAGTTGTCCTGAGTGGAGTGGAGCTTGGGGGGGGGGGGTTGGGGGGTTTAAAAATTTGTGCCAATGGGTTTAATTTGTTTCCAACATTTGTGATGACTGAGGAATGGGGGCCAATGGTGGGTGGAGGAAATTGGCCATGATAGCATGAGGTCATTTATTAATGGTCATCTCATACTGATGGTAAGCAAATATATGATCCATGATTGGTCAGCTCTAATTTTGACCCCCCACCCCTTCTTCCCCGTTTTTTTCGTACCCCAATGCGCCTAAGTTGACTGATTTTTGCTGAATAAAATAAGAGAGTGAGGGTGATCATATACAATAAGATAGACTCATTTTGTTGTAATTATGGTAGTGAGATCACTTTGTTCAAAATGGTAGGATGACTAAGATTAACCAGAATTCAAATTGTTGATCCCACTGAAATTTCAAATGATGTGTCAATTTAGTCTGAGATTTGGCTTATGCGTTTACTTTGCGAAGCAACAAAAAACTTCAATACTACTATGGAATTTCTTGCAAGGCAATCTCTTTTGAAGAACAAAAAGGAATGCAACTACTGCAATGTGGCATGTAAACTCGCTTCTTACAATCAAGGAATTGACAAAACAATATGATTGTCTCCTATTTGTGGTTTGAGAAAAAGTATACGAGATCATATGGCTCATTTTTCTCTTGGAGCCATCTACCATTATCAAAAATAGTCATTCTTATATGCTGTTTCGCAAATGGTTTTCCTCATGATGTTACAAAGCTTGAGTCTAAAATACAGAACTAAAACACTGTGATTGAGTGGTTCAATTTTATTCGAGAGGATATAGGGGATTGGTGGGTTGTGGGTTGGACAATAATGGAGATCCCATGTTTTTTGAGGTTGATGAATCCAAATATTTTCACAAAAATATCACAGAGGAGCATGGCGTTAAGGCCGCTGGGTATTTGGTTGGATAGAAAAGTCACTGAAAAATACTTCTTAGTGGAAGTTCCAGACAGAAAAGCTGGTACCCAGGAAAACATTTTTGTCCAGCATGTTTGGCAAGAACACATATAAAAACAGATGGATAGGCAGGTTATAGAAATCTGAAACCATTATCCAATGGCATATTTATGCATTCAGTCATGATGTATGAAAGGAATTTTGTGGATCCCAAGGATCCAGATGAACACACACAAAACATAGAAAACCAAACATAAACTAAAAAGACAGTTAGGAACAAGTGATACATTGTTTCCATCATATTAAAAGAAGTTTCAGTTCTGTTGCAATATCATCAAGATTAAGGCGTTCAACAAACTTTTGACTGTGTTAAAAAGATGATATATTGTTTAAAACATTTTAAATAGTTCAGTTTTTTCTTGGACTTCCCAGAGCATAAAAGGTTAGATCTTTTAAACTTTTAATTTTTTCTGTACCAGTTAGTCTTTGTGTTTACTGGTAGCTGAAAAATACTTTTGCCAACATCATTGTTGTATGCTATAATATTTTGTCGGATTTTTACTGTTTTCTCTATTCCATGATACATAATACATCATGTTAACACCACAAGTTTTTATTTTCATGCTACTTAGGCCTATTTTTGAACAGTTCTCCCACTATGTCACTAATTTGAAAAGCTTAAGAAAATAATGCACCTATTATATAGATAATGTCACCCTCTGATATTTGCACCCAGGACGAGAAGGGACAAAATACTGCAGAAATGAAATAAATGACCTATTTGTTGTAAAGAATTTTGTGAATTAAATTTAAAAACTATTTATATGAATATTTAATTTTGATAGTTAAACTAGAACATTATTTCATAATAATTAACCAATAAAAGATACTTGAAATATGTAAGAGCTAAATATTTAACATTCTAAACTCACCACTGGTTTAGAAAGTGATATCGGAAACCTATACATAATTAAATAAAGTTATAAAATAAGTACAACATTTATTTCTAGACACATCCAGTTGGGCAACTCTCATTACCTATTTTTGAAGACAAAAGAGTTCTCCTTGATTTATCACAGTGACAAGGGATTCATGAAATGTACTTTTTATATGTACAATTTTATAAAATAGTTGTTGTATTTGAAAAAAAAGACGGTATTTTATTTTTATTTTATCAAAAAAGACGTTTAATGTAGTTACATGAGGTAAATGGGAAGTTTTTAATTATTTTACTGGAAATAATTAATTGCGTTAAAATAAGGGATGACCTGAGTAATGAACTGTAATGTCAGTACTGAGTGGTAATAGGCAGAAAATTCACGTACAAAAATTTGAAACTCTTATGTTAGTTCGTCCGCTGACTCAATGAGGACCACTTACTTTAATAATTCTATAAGGTGCTGGGGGGCTGAGTCTGATTCTGTAATAGGTGCGCAGATGGCTATTGAGGCTTTTTCTGGTACCATTTTATTCAATTTTCTTGTGCAGTGGGTGCAAGGCATAGTAATGAACTGGGCTTTTTTGGATTGTCTTTTGTGTTCTGCAGCAGCTGCTCTGCTGGCTTCATGTTGCATGTAGCTTTTATGTGTTAAGGAGTCTTTCCCTACCTGCCAACGGTCCCACAGTCCACAGACTACCCCCTTATAATGGCCTCTTACTATGATTATGGCTTCTTGCTGCTATGTCCATTGTATTAACAGTCATCTCAATCTTTACCATATCATATACCGGTATTTAATATCTTGTATTTGCATGCCCATGCTTTATTTTAAACAGCTTATTTCTTACAAGTCGTTCATGTCAGGTCAGCTACTGCATTTACAATATAAATTTATAAAAACTGTAGCAACAAAAAATGATCTTGGTTTCTAGGATGATGACTGATGTATTAAAATTTAATCAGAGCTATGTGTCATTATCATGTAATAATAATGTCACTATTCATAATCAAGCTTGCTATTCTGATGTTTAGCTCAGGCCAAAACCTGGCATCACTGGGTCCAACAACTGGTATAGATCGCCAAAATATAATGCGGCTAAAAGTTAATAGAATTGCATTGGTCCAGGAACTGCGAGTAGAACATATAACTGGATTGCTGATGGAAGCAGGTGTTATAGCTGCTAAAGATCTTAAAAAAATTGAGAGTGGAAGAACATCCCAGGTAAAGTTGGTCAAATTCAATTACAGACTTATTGCAGACTTATTTAAAAATTATTATCCACAATTTGTTTAGTGCAGACTCATAATAATTGATATACAGACCAGCCCTTTAAAAAAAAATAAAAACATACATTAATTTTTAAAAAAAAATAGAAGCTTTTATGGCTTTAAATATTTTAAGAATAATTTTTTTTTAAAACATAATTTATGGATTTTAGATTGACTGTCATGAAATAATAAACAGAATATGCTCCAATCTACAAAGACAATTTAACATCTTACATAACCTTATATTATACAACAACATCATCAATGAAAGTAAATATCTAATCTGAGCATGAAATTGTTTGAATATTTAAATCTAGGACAAGGCTCGTATTTTGGTTGACCTGTTACCCACGAAGAGCAAGAATACAGAATGGTACAAACATTTTAGAGAAGCTCTGCAGAATCCTGAGGCAAGCCCCGAAACAAAGAAAAGATATAAAAACTTAGTGGACTTTTTAGACAACACTGTAAGTTTGAAATTAAATTTTTTTAGTTTGCAAATAAAAACTGTCATTATCAGTCCAGGAGTTCTAATGTTTTTATTGAAGCCTTTGTAAAGACTATCTTTCTTGCAAATCTGAGGGGTTTGTAAGTTTGTAGCTTTGTAGCATAATTTGTTGTTGCCACACATAACCCTCTTGTTGAGCAGATTCAGTCTGCCTCATGCTGATCTGTAAAGTCTCAATTGAATTGATTACACAAAGATACAGCTCCAATAAGCTGGGTCTAGATAGAGAGGTGGGGTTGGTGTGGTGAGTGATGAGTAAAAGATTGTAGAAAAACAACAACCCTATCCCCTTTTATTACAACAACCATTTGTCTTAACTTCAGGATTATAGGATCAGGATGGGGAAAGGGTTGGTGTAGGGTATTTCAGCATTAGACTCTGATCAATGAATGGCAAGCGGTCATTAAAATCTACTTTTATGTTTTATGCCTGGGTAAAAAGCTAAGTAACTTTACCCAGGATTTTATAAGCACTTTTTGTTTTTTAAAAATTATTATTTTGTAAATACCGTATTTTCTGGCGTATAAGACGACTTTTTAACCCATTAAAATCTTTTCAAAAGTCGGGGGTCGTCTTATACGCCAGGGATTGTCTTATGAGCTGGTATACAGTCCAAACCCTAGATTTTAACAGGAAAAGTAGGGGGTCGTCTTATATGCCCAGTCGTCTTATACGCCGGAAAATACGGTAATTTACAAATTAAAATTTTCATACTAAAAAGTAGAAAATTTAAAAAAATAAAAAGGAATTTCTTTTGAAAACAAGTTTCAACATTCTAAAAATAGAAAATAATTGTATTTAAATTTCTTACAATTTCAATCACGAAATCTTTTCATATTTTTTGCACTTAAAATAATTTTATTTGTTATTTTTTACATGTTGGGTTAATTTAGGTTATTCATCGTCCAACATCCCAAGCTGGAAGATTTAGAGACATGAAACCACAGGCAATACCAGTGAGGAGTTTACCTCCCATTAATGGGGTTGAAAATGATGTCCATCCTGATGTCCAACGCTACTCACCATTACCAAATATTGACAGTAGACAATCAAAAGATGAAACAAATTGGTAAGATGTGAGGAATACATATTTCAAAATAACATTTTTTACATGTTAAAAGATGTGTGAAATTAGCTGAATTAATTATTCGATTTTTGTTCAGCTATCACATGTTTTGTAAGATATTTCTTTTCCTTTGTCAAGTTTTTTAAAAATGCCACCAATTGAGGACTAACTTTTAAAATTTTAATGTAAGTATTCAAAGACTTCAAAATATGAATATTTTTTAACATTATATATATTTTTTCAGTGAATTAAATACAGCAAAGTCAACTCCAGGTGTAGAAGATGTTTTAGCTTTGCAGAAGCACAGAAATATGACATTAGTGAAAGGCTATTTTCACCAATGGCTTCCAACCCCAGAAAATTATAAGTATGCAGCTTACTGTTCTAAAGATTTGACATTTTATTCAAAATTCAACAGTCCATTTTGTTATAATAATTGTTCATGATAACAGCTAGATGTGTATTTGGACATTGCCAAGAGCTATAAAAGGCTGGCGGTAGTACATTTTATATATGACAGGTAGTAAAAGAAATAACTTCATTATCTTTCCTTGATGCAAAAAATAGTGTATAATGAGAGGTTAAATTGCTACCCACTGTCACTTGCACCCAGTAGATTTTTTTATTTTACATCTTTCAAAATGGTTTTATTTTGGCAGTGGGCATTTAACTGGTAAAACTACATTTATTTTGGCAGTGGCCATTTAACTGGTAAAACTACATTTATTTTGGTAGTGGCTATTTATCTGGTAAAACTACATTTATTTTGGCAGTGGCCATTTAACTGGTAAAACTACATTTATTTTGGTAGTGGCTATTTATCTGGTAAAACTACATTTATTTTGGCAGGGGCGATTTAACTGGTAAAACTACATCTTTATGGAAGTGGCCATACTTAAGAAAATTAAAATCTTATTCTACTGTGTGACAATAGATAAACTTTCAAAATTGGCTGATATGAACTGCTTGGCAAAAAAAAAAAATTGGCTTTGTTTGTGTTTAATCTTTTTGCTTCTATTATTATGAAGTGATAAGTTATTTGAAAGCTTTGTGGAATCATTTAATCAACAAATGATTATAAATTTGGGAAATTTTTATAACTATTCTCTCCCTTAAAATGATATATGTGTTGCAATTTCGATTCTCTTTTCATTTTTGATTCAATTGATTCCTATATCAAGGCTATCAGGCTGTTATAGTTATTTCGTTGATTCTATTAGAATTAGCTCTTTTCATGTGGCATAATTTAGATCAGACCAAGTGCAGAAAAAAATCTCAGTAGGCAACAAGTGAACCAATTTGTTTAATATTTTTTAGGTCTGTCCTAGATCTTCCTGAATCTCACAGAGAGAAATTAGCATCTTCAGAAAATCCCCAAGATCACAAACTGTTGGAGAAGGAAGAGACCGCTTTGAACTACTTGAGACGAGTTGAGGTGATCACTGTCCTAGCTCAGCGCAAGCAGCTTCCAATGGGATTTGAGATGTGTCTGTGTGATGCTGTTCAGGTAGGAGCTGATATTCTGTTGATGTTGTTAAGTATTCAGTAATTTATGAATAGGCTGCAGAACCCTAGCACAATTTCAGGTAACTTTACGACAACTGTTCATAAAAAATTGGTAAACAATCATTTATTTTAAACAATCATTTGTCTTGTAGATATCTTTTAAAAAATTTCATGAAATTTATTTGTTTCTATGAAATTAGTATCCAATATTCTTCATCCTGTTTTGGAGAATGCATGTTGCTTGACCATATTATACACATTTATTAATTTTAAATCAAATTTTTTATTTGACAGGATATATTAAATCAGCCTGAGACCCATCACCTGTATATGAAACACCTGGTCACTATGGAGGCATCTGAGATTATGTTGGTCAAGGACCTGATCTCATCATACGAGTCAGTCTTACAGCTGTTGGACAAGTCTAGCACATCAGACATTGCCACTCAGGCAAGAATTCAATTCTGACATATAAATATTTATTAAAATAATATTTAATAAATTTCATTAAAAAAAATTAAAAACACTGAGAGAAGAAAATAAGCACCACCAGCATTCTGTGTACAAAATTCTATTGAAACTAGCACCTACCCATGGATAAGTTGACTCAGCATTTTAAAATGAAGTTTACGACAGAAATTTCTCAACTTATATACATGAGTATATACAATGAGGAATAATAAATATAATTTCAAAGTTTAAATTTTCAAACTGCGATTAAAATATGTTCTGCTTAGGTTGTGCAGACGGGCTTGAAAATGGCGAATTTTCTCATCACGATCAACAAGTATCCCGAAGCAGATGGAATTCTAGTCAGCACCTTGCAATTCCTCAAACAAAGCACTCATTTAGACTTCTGGGTAGCTCGCTATCAGGCATACGTCAAGCTCATGCAGACACGAAATTTATCCTACCAGCTGGACAAGGCCCAGAATGCCTATTTTGATGCAGTGCAGATGCAGTATCAAATCAAGCTGATGTCTTTTGGTCAGCCAGTGTTGCATGAGGGCTCCATGCATGCTGAAACAAGTCAAATGTTGTTAGAGTACGGCTCTATCATCTCGGCCCATGGCTGGGCCAGGAAAGCTCTGAAGGTAATCAACTCACTGCTAAAGTTAAATCCATGTGCATCTCGATTATCCTCTAATGCTGCAGTCATAAGTCATGGGATCATTCACGCTGTGCTTTTGTTTTGGTTCACAGCTGTATATCTTCACGTTCAGCCAGATTTGAGAACCTGTTTAAGATTTTAATGATAAATACACAAACTGAAAATATTCAAAACTTCATCATCAATGTTTTCAAAGTTTCAATCACAGTTCGTAATTTGTAGCATTTAATAGTATTTCAATTTTTGTTGCACAGGAAGTTGACCCAGATGACCCAGTGTCTGTTGTTAGAGTGCTCTGCGTGGCAATCAACTCTTACTGTGCTCAGTGGCTGGTCAAGAGAGCGGAGCTGTTGGCCATTTATGTTGTGCAGTATGCCAGGTAAGCGAACATAATATACTGAATACTGAAACAACATTTTCAATGGATAGGGATAAGGCTAGAAGACAGACCTGAGTGCTAGTTTGGAGTGCCAAAATGCACTTGTTTTGATAAGATTTTTTATGTTTTAATTTTATGAGTCCTAGACAGTTCCATACATTTAAAAAAAAAATTCCTTGCAGAGAAAAATTTGGAGAGAGACATCCAATGTACATTGAGGCACTGCTACACTTTTGTCATTTTAACACAGAGTTTAAACAAGATGAGTTGGGAATTAAAATAGCAAAGGCAAGCAATTTAACTATTGTAATTTAAGTATAACACTCATTTGCTAATTGCTTTTGTTTTAATTTTAGCATATAGTTTTAAATATTACCAGGTATGTAAAATTTATTAAAAAATGCAAAAATGAACAATTTAAAAAGGACTTATTAAATTGATCTTTTAATATATATGTGGAGACAAAATAGTTAAGACTGACGGATGCAATTAAAAAAAATTATAATTTTTTTTTTTTTCTTCACTATATTTTCAAGGAGCTTCTAGATGTGGCTGAAAGGACTTATGGATGTGAAAGTATACATGTGGCCCTAGCTCATCGCGCCATCAGCAGATCCCTGATGTGCATGCATAAACTAGACACAGAGGACTATTACACACATGCCATTGAAGCTGTGAGAATAGCCCGCTCTTTGCTGGGGCAAAGTGGAAAACAGTTGCACATATTCCTGGATACACTTGGTAAGTTTTAGCTATAGAATGTACCCAGAGCCCTCTTGGAGGTCTCCAACCCTTGCGGCCGCAGAATTTTCAATTTTTTAAGGGTTACAAATGAGTGATATGGACAAAATATAACTACCGGTATCAGCTTTGAATGCAAGGGCTCAAAACCGAAAAGTGGCAGGGGGCCGCCTCCAAAATTCCGACGTCTCTGAATGTACCAAAAACAAAGAATTTCTGAGTTTGCCGATATAGTTTTCAAATTACATAATTCTTTTTTATGTTTTATTTTTAGTTCATGTTTGAACATGGTTATTAAAAAAAACTTAGATTCTCCAACTCATTCTATACAAAACTTATAACATACATCCCTAAATCAAAATAGTCAAAAGTATTTTGGTGCGGGAGGAGGGGGGGGTTGAGGTGGAAAATAATAGATGTGTACAGGGATACACAGATAATCAAAACTTGGTGATAGTGGTCATTACATTATCAAATAAAAATTTAAAAAAATTACCCTAAAAATCCCTAAAAAAATATAAGAAGCTACATGATGAGATATTTAGGAAGCTTCAAAATGAGATAAATGTTAGTAAACTTCCTTGTTAACAGCCTCTGCACTGCAGTGGAAAGCCCTTCACTGTCCCAAAGAGCTCCACGACTCCACTCTCCACTGGGCTGAGGCTGAAGCTAAACAAGGTCTGGCTTTAGTCACAAATACCTATGGGGAGATCAGCCTCAAGTCTGCTCAGATGTTGCTTTTACTTGGCCATATTTACTCAAAAATGAACAAGTGAGTTTATAGTTTAGAAATTAAACGAAATTTTACCTATTTATGTGTAAAGGCCATTTGTAACAATTGAAGTAAATCCATTGAAAAATAGATTTTAAAGTAACTTTAATTACACTGGCCTATTTTCTTTTTCTATTTTCTTTTTAATTTTTTATTGCCTTTTAGTTTTTTTTTGTTTTTTTTTACACAACTTTTTTTCTTCTTATTTTGCCAGTCACCCAGTCATTGAGGAAGACTTGTAAGTATATTTTTGTGAATATACCATTACTTTATTCTCTCTCTATTTATCAAGATAATATTTAAATATTAAAATAAATTTTCCGGAAGATACACATGAATAACTATTTTTTAAAACATCAGAAACATCATCCAATAAACATTTCAGGGAAGTTTAAAGCCATCTTAATTGGTGTGTGTTTTTTAGCATATTTTCTAGGTCTCGCTAAAAGTAGTCAATACCATCCCCAATTAGGTTAGTGTTGTCAGAACGGCTCCTGTGCCAGGCAGTAGACTACCTCAAACTATGTCAGCCACCATCCAGCAACTATCTGCTCCTGGGCATGGCCAACCTCGGCACATTTTATAAGATTCTCCTCAAGCCCGACCTGGCCATACCTAGACTGAAGTATGTTGTGGAACATGCAGGTAATGCATTGCAATTTTATTGTCTTCATTTTTTTAAAATATGGTTAAGTAATTACATCTAGCCATATAATTACCAAAATATAGGATAGTGTGCGCAAGGGGAAATACTTCTGAACTTATTATTGGAGTGCCTTTATTTCAATCACAGTCACAAACAAATCTTAATGCAATTTTATTCAACACAATTTGATGCCTGCATAAACTTAAAGCGCCTTGTTGTTTCGGAGGAAGTATGCTTGCCTACCACACGAATGACCTCTGTTTCATTCTCATCTCATTTAAAATATTGTTTTTTACTTTTTGTTATTTCATTGGTGAAAGCTATATTTATCTTTCATTGAATTATAAAAAAATGTAAATAATTTTTGTTTTAAATTTCATAGATTGCAGGAATCAATTCTGTTTCCACATTTGTTTGGATCATTTCTAGCTATTTACATCACACTGAAACAATTCCTCTACTTGATACTGTGTTTATAAAAGGCTTTCTTTTTCTGTCACCCAAACATTTATTTTGTTAATTTCCTACCAGAATCCACAGGTTGGTATATCAAGTGGGTACACATGTGCTTTGATTCCTTGGCTGCACTCTACAACTCTATCGGTGATGATAAGGAGGCAGACCTCGTGCAGGTCAGGCTCTCACAGTGGCTAAAGGCCAACCCCATCAAATCTGAATCCATTGACTACTCACAGCTGCAACAAGTGCCCGTGCCATTCACATCGTTTTTAGCCAAGGCAGACATATGGGTCACAACAGTACAAAAGGTCATGGCATTGCCATCGGAGAAGGCTTTTGTTGCAATGGGTGAGAACGATTCAGAATTAACTGATAATTGCATTGATGATGAGATGAATAATGATAAGGAAGAAATTTAGCATACATTACCTTAGGAATACATGAAAAAAAAATAATCAAAATTATTTTTCACCTAACAAATGTAGATTATGTACCAATTTTCAAATTTATTATATTATCTCAATTTTACACCCAATTTGCCTTCTTGCTGCATCTGAAAAATCTATTTTTGGTAATTGATCTGTATTTGTACACATAAAAGTCCCGCAAAACTTTATTTAGGCTTATATTGACAAAATAAGCTATACGTGATTCAATATTGTAAATTTATTGGAATGCAATATTTTTGTATAGATTATAACAATTCACCAAAATGTCATTTTTATAAACTAAAAGTCTAAATCTGTTTGTCTAAGTAATAAAGCTAAGCTTGAGCAAAGTTGACAAAAACAACTTAAAAATATATATATATTTTTTTTTAAAAATCAGGACATAAATTTAATTTTTATGCAATATAGACAAATAATGAGGTGAGCATATGTTAAATGGTCATTTATTTGGTGTTTGTTATTTTATTTAATTTTACGCTTAATCACGGTACACCGCTATCATTTCTCGTTGACATCACTCACATAACAAAACACATTTTACTTCAGGTACATTACTTTTTTCTATTTGGTTGCTGTCATGTAAAATTATCTACACTTTCAGGGGACATGAACAAAAGACATTATGTACCTTTAGTGGTCAACTATGTTTGGTAAACTTGGTAACTATGCAGTTTTTTTGCTTTGAAATCAAGCAACTTTTAGCCTTTTAGCCAAACCTGTGCTTGTAAAGAACACAATAGTAATACATTAATGCAGTCCCCTAAAACACCAGCAATGACTGCTTGAACTTAAGAAATGGCTGCAGTGTGGAAAAGACTCTAAAACATTGAAATGCTGACTGAATTTTGAAATTAGATTAGAGACTAACAATTTTTTTTAAAACTTGCACTAACTTAGATGATCACTAACAACCAAATTTTATGTAATTTTTTGGTGGGTAATTCTATATATTTGAAAGATTTTAATATTTCTTTTAACTTTTAGTACTTTAGCTTACAAAAGTGAAAGCTCTCCGTTTGTTAATTGCATTAATTAATTGAGTTTTATTTTAGTAGTAAAAGGTAATTTTTTTGCGTGTGTGAATTTGCAGTGATATGGCCATCATATCTTATTGAGACCCAAGGACACAATGAATCACTCTTTATTTTTTATTATTTTTTTAGTTATTTGTAGACAGACAGAGCTGTGAATCTTCCCATAAATATTGGTAGGTTGTTTCCTTCAATGACCATAGACTAATGTTGATGTGTGACCAAACAATTTTTTGGAAAGTAAAGATGGCAAAATTTTATCTCATGCCATGTCAGTCTTAGTGGGCTGAGTTTTTTTAGCAATGTTTTCTCACTAATAGCTGCCTTCCTGTATTAACTGGTCAATCCACCCTTACTTGTCATAGGAATTTTTCTTTTCACAGCTTTTTGCCTTTCCAGAGTCAGTGTGACTGTATGCCTGTAGCCGGCTGTGACCACACTCAAACTTTTGTTCAAATAATCTCAAACTTGTGATCACGAATAGACAGGCCACTATTTTAAAAAAATGAATAATATAATTCATGGTTGCCCAATTTTTATTGCGTGTATAATTTAGTGACAAACTGAGATCTTACAGTCATTTAAAAGGTTTATATTAACTCTTAAGACATGCATAAAAGGATTAAAATAAATTGGAATGTTATTGTGTGGGGCATTTGTTAAAACTTAAAATATCCTATTGAATAACTCTGAAATATGCAACTGTTTTTGTTAACTTGTATATGATGCCTAAATGATTTTATTTTGTGGAAATATTTTGTATTCTTTAAACCAAAGACCTTAACAAAAGCAAAATGTAACTTGCATAACCTTCATCTGTATGTTTGAAATGTACTTCATGCCTTGCACAAAACATTATTTTTGTTTATCTGCTGTTTCAAATGAGTTACTCATTGAACTCATTCCAAATTAATTTATTTCTTCAAATGTATTTTAATTTTAGCAAACAGTATGTAACAAGGAATTTTGTTAAAGGATTATTTTACTTTCAATTTTGGCTGCCTATCATTTACAAGTTTTGAACATTGTTGATGTTACAGTTTTTAATTTTTAATGTATCGGGTATTGACTGTGATATTATTTAAAAAGAATAATTTTAATAAATAGAATTGTTATAATAAAAATATTAACCATTTTCTTCTTTATCTAAATTTATTTTTAGCAGATTATACATTTTTTTTTTTGTTGCCGAAATCAATATTTATAATTTAATTAATATTCTAACAAATAAAAAGCTACTTTCTTTAATCATTTGATAGAAAACTGTTAACCTATTTATTTTTTTTATACTAAAATTTTGGAATATCATACTTACTGGATTTCCTAAACTTATGAAATCATTAATGTCTTATTTTCATATTTAGCAACAATTAATTATTTAACATCTTTAAAGCTATTTTCTGTGATAACATACATATTTTTTAATTTTATGGTTACAAACTGATTTTTTTCCCCACATCCAAATGAATGTTAAAACATTAAAAATGATGCTACAAAAAAATATCTTACATATAAAAAATAGAGATTTCACTTTATAAAACAAACCAACTAATTATAAGTTAAATGGTGCATTCACTGGTTGAAAATACACCATAAATCTTTAATTGCTTTTACAAATAATTCATATGTTAAAATGTGTGCTCAAATGTAGCTCATTCCTGTTAGATTAATTATTCTAATAAATACAGTCATTTACAAGTCATCAATGCTTTGTTATCTTTTTAAACTGTAGATCTAAAGATTTGAAAGCAAAAAAAGTATTCAAATTTCCACTAAATTTATTTGCATTAGAAAATAAAACTAATTATTAGTAGATAATTTACCTTTGACCTGCTTGAGGGAATGAATGTGACTGATATTGATTGTGATAGAAACATTGGCAATAAAAACAGTATTGGAGGAATGCGTTCAGGTTGAAGCAATATGTGGTAATGTCACCTAATAAAAACAGTGGTAGGTTTATTCAAAAAGTTTATTCTATACTCTATAGTATTTATCATTTGAATTTGATATTTTTTCTAAAAAAATTAATAAATTATATTTAGGTAGCTTTCAGAAGATTTAAGTTTTAACAACTGGATTTTTTATTAAAAAAATGGGAGAAAGTGAGTTTCAGATATCTTCAAGAATTTTTCGGATAACTGCTTCCAACTCAACAGTGAATGGGATGTTAAGCTTTGGGCTTGCTTTTCTGAGCATGTGGCTTCACAGCTGCCATACAAAAGAAGAAAATATAGCTCTTGTGCGTTATCTATGCCAAAAGCATAAAATAAATTAATAATCAAAATTATAAGAATAATGGTTACAAAAATGCTGAAGTTTAAATTATTATACTCTGCTGGAGATAAGGTCCAATTCATAAATAGACTTCGTGTCATGTGGGTGTTGTTCATCCTTCACATGTGAAAATTACCCAGGCTGTAAGACATGGGTGAGTACCCAGGTGGCATGCCAGTCCTGGAAAGGTTTCCCACATGGGGACACACGTTTTGGATCCTAGTAGGATTTGAGTCGATTCTGCTTTTCCTTGCCATGCGCTTTCTTTTTGCTCCAACAGTGAGTCTGCCACACCAGCTAGCAATCCAAAATAAGTGTCTCCTATGAATCAAGGTCAATGTCCATGGATTTGAGTGAAGCTATAAGACAGTCCTTGAAGAATTTTTTCTGCTGATTCCCACTGGATAATTCACAGAACATAAGTCATTTGGGAAGTCTGCCGTCTGGCATTCCTGCATCATGCCCTGCCTATCTGGCTTGTCCTTTTTGTAGGAGCATGTGGATACTGATAAAATCAGCCCATTGCAGGACCTCTGTATCCGGGTGGATGGGACTCATTAGCCCTGGATGACCACTCACCCAAGAGAAGGAAAACTCTGAATTCAAAACAGGAGCCAGAATGATCAACGAATTGATCGTGGGCCCTCAAATCTAAGAAGAATAAGGGACTCTGTCCTGCCACCTCATGCCAAGAAGTTTACATAGGCCATGGGTAGAGGATGGTTTAGCTGTCTAGCATGTCTGGAGTACACTGTCCACATCTGGCTAGCTTATGGGAGAGATGTTAATACGATTGTCCTGTATTCTTTCAGCTTAGTGACAAGACTGAGACCCCTTCACTACCATACACTCTAGCAGGAGGCTTCCAAATGCAACATTTTATTTGAATTTCTTTTATTTATATCATCATCTATTGTTGCTGACCTGGATAGGATGCTGCCCAAATATGTGCATTTTTCTACTGCTAGGAGATTGTGTCCCTTCACTGACATTTTAGGTTCTTTGTAAGCTTTTCCTGGAGCTGGCTGAAGCAAGATCTGTTTTTTTTATTTTGATGGTGAGGCGGTATTTGTTGCAGGCCTTAGCAAAAGCAATCAAACTGGATTTTTAGTTCCAAATTTGCAATTAGAGTAATAGCTTACATTCTCCTAAGCTTAAATAGCCCTCGGTCTGTCCTGTATCTTATAGGAATGCTGTCATTGTCAAGAAAGGCTTTTGTGTCATAATATTGTTTTGGGATACGATTATTTTGTAGCAAACAGTTCAAAACTGAAAAAAATTTGATATTCAAGACATTGAAACAATCAGGCTGAAATTTACAATAAAGTAACATAAAATCAAGCCTAAAACAGAAAAAAAAAAAAAAAGACTTCCTGGAGATTTTTAAAAATTTTATTCCTTTACTTAACATAAAAACAAGCCAAAAAAAAAAAAAAAAAAAAAAAAGACTTCCTGGAGATTTTTAAAAATTTTATTCCTTTACTGAAAAATGCACTTTACAGATAATTTAATAGAAAACTAATTTTAACTTTCACACCAAAGCATTGTATACTTGAGACCAAAAGAAGTTCGAGTGACAGAAACTTATCAAACCATTAGCAGTATGGGCTAGAAATTATTTCCCAATAAAACAACATAATAATCCAAAAATGGATGAAATAAAGCATAAGGTTTTAATATTTGAAATATTATCTTCTAAAATTGTCTACCTTTAGAAATTTAAATTTAAAAAAAAAAAAAAAAAAAAAAAAAAAAAAAAAAAAAAAAAAAAAAAAAAAAAAAAATAAAAAAAAAAAAAAAAAAAAAAAAATAAAATTGTCTAAATTTAAAAAATAAAAATAAAAAAAAAAAAAAAAAAAAAAAAAAAAAAAAAATCAGATCTAAGTTTGTGAGAATATAATTGTATAAATACCAAATAAAGAACAATGTGAGTTTCATTGTAGACTTGAAACATTACAGCAATAGATCAAGAAGTGTGGATAAACAGATAAACTTTACAAGTATAAATAGCACCAATAAAACTTGCATGTAATGTAATTAGACTATGTATAGTGTTGTAAATAAAGCTGGCTTAATTCGACCACATGTGTCAAACTCAAGGCCCGCGGGCCACATCCGGCCCGTGGTACAATTATATCAGACACGAGAGGTCTCGACCGGCATACATAATTTATATCCAAGTTAACGCTATGGTGTTTCCCAACGCACACTTTGCTGAAAATTTAAGCTTACCGAGTTCGCACGGCGATTTAGTGACTTTAAAGCACATAAATGTAATTTCAAGCTATTTCGTAAGCCATTTTTCATAGACGTGGAAACTGCACCTGTAAATTTGCAGTTGGAGCTAATAGAGTTGCAGTGTAATGGGACACTAAAGGCAAAGCACGACACAGTTGGGCCTGCACAGTTCACTCGTTTTATTCCTGAAGAGATGCTGCAGCTTCGTCAACATGCGGCTCAATCCTTGAGCATGTTGGTTAACACAAATATGTGTGAGCAGCTGTTTTCTGTGATGAAAATTAACAAAACATCATAAAGGAGTTATCTCACTGAAGAACACTGCAGTCCATCATGAGAATCTCAATGACACAGAACGTTACTTGTTTTTGTAGCCATGAAAATGTGCCAAAACATCCACTGTAAGAATGAAAATGGGTATGCCAATGATTTTTAATTATTAAAACTTTTTTCTGTTTTCATTTATATAAATGTTTTGTAAAAAGATTAATTTTTGGCTTATTGAATGTTTATCCTGTTCGCCCCGCAACCTTACATGTTATTGAGTTTTGGCCCGCCAAGCGATTGAGTTTGACACCCCTGGTCTAGACAGTTCACAATTTCAAGACATTTGTCTAAAATATCCTCAGCTCAGAAGTTGTAGCAAGAGAGCTAACTTTTAAAACACAAATAATTTAGAGCAGAGTATTTTTCTGCAACACCTCTCTCACCTCTATTCAAATTGTTTTGGAGCTTCCTTGGAACAGCGTACCGTACTGCATGAACCTAATCTAACATGCTGCCCGTAATGTCATTTTAAAGGAAAAATGAATACAACTCTTTATACATAAAAGCTACCTACACTAAGGCATGAATATTTATTTAAAAAATAAAAACGTTACACTCAGAAGAAAAAAAGCACCACAGTTGGTACAAATTATTATTTTTGTTGAGTGTAGATATATATAAGCATATAATGTACACATACAACATTCTACATGCAGTACACACCAACGCAAGTAATAGTCAGACAACCCTAGTTACACACTCATACCGTAACATATGTTCTAAAAAAATAAATAAAATAATATTATCTGAAAATATTTCAGTTGTAAAAATTTCATGTAAATTACACCCCAAAAAAACAAAACAAAAAGACAGCCAAACTTCCTTCATGTAAAATTACTAAACAGCCAAAATTTCATGAGTTAAATTTAAACAAAAAAGTTCAGCCATCACAAAATTAAATTTTTTATTGTGATCAACTGCAAAAAGTAAACAAAAAAAAACAACAAAATTTCCTAACATCTATTTACCTTCAGTCTTGCTGCATCTACAGCACATGTAAATTTGCAGATGTATTCAAGCAACTAATTACACCAATACCCTACCAGAGTACAACGTGATGTTTACTACACCGCATAGGTAATGCAAGAAAATCAAAGTATGAAAGAAAAAGAATAATCACCATAAATCAGAGCGATTATGTACACGATTGTTTGACCCATTAGACCGAGCAGTGAGATTTATTATCATCTCATACAAGATAGTTATTACATATTGTATAGTGGTTTTACAGGATAAGATTGAAATTTTGAACATCACGTTGGAACTCAATACAACACAAACATAGATAATATATTTAATGATGTATAAAACTTAAGAGCACAATTATTTAAAACTCCAAAACTCTGTAAGGTAAATAATTTTTCTGCACTGACCTTACAAGAAAACTGGCACATTTTGACAATAACATAAGGGGTGTAGACATATCTAAAATAATTCAGGACCTGACCTTTTTCTCAGGGGTCATTGCTATGTGTGTGTGTAAAAATGGGCAAAGAAAACAATGAATCAAACTTTAAAATGTTAAGGCGTCATGGTCTTTCTTCTGTACACCCCTGCAATAATACATATGTCAATATTGTTTTAAAAACAATCTCAAAAGTCAAAGAGCTATGAAAAGTTTATCTATAGGAATTTAAGTTCCTGTAATTGAAAGATGTTTCTGCTTTTACATGCAGATTTTCACATGCAAAAAGTGGAAAACCTTTAGTGAAAATTACATTTATAAGCTCACCAATAGCTTTAAAAACATTTTTCTTTTTAAAAAAAAAAATTTGATGGACAAAAATGCAATATTAACACAAGAAAAAATTAAGAGTATGGTACTAAACATGAACTAAAAAAAAAAAGATTAACTTATGCAACAAATATTTTCTTTCACTAAAACATACTGACAAAAAATTATTAAAATATTTTGATTCCATGTGTATTAAAGTGGCTTCAAGCTGTAATGCACAATTTGATACTAAACTTGCAACTCAATTTTATATTTATCCTAACAAAAAGTTGTACAAACTGAGAGAATAAATTAAGACACAGCAATTATGATGATCATAATCAGAGTGATCAGGGCGGTGAAGCCGATGTGGAGGAACAGCATGAAACGCTTGAATCTACGACCCTGAAAAATAAAAAAATTAAAATTTAGTATTGATCTCTTCCTGTTGTACCAACAAAAACCCCAAAATGTGGCTCAATATATGACTATGTAAATATGCTGTCTCTGATACTTGTATGATTCAGCCATACTTCATTCTTCTAACATTACCACAACAAGCTTCATGATGAAGTTCAAATTTTCATGATGTAAAATGATGAGGGAATAAAAGAACTTGGACTTCATAATTCAATGACATGGCAAGCTTGTAAATGATTAAATGATTGTGTTGAACTTACAGCCGGCTCTGGCTCAGGGTGGTGCAGTTTGGGGTGCTCTTTCTTTGTTAGTTCCCACTTCTTTTTACGCTCTGCAAAAAAAAAAAAAATATGAGGGCGGTAGGGCAACTGAGTATATTCATGAGATTGATATGAGCAGTTTGGAAGACATGAGCTCCAGCACTGTATAAATGAGCAGCTTGGAAGACATGAGCTCCAGCATTGTACAAATGAGCAGCTTGGAAGACATAAGCTCCAGCACTGTACAAATGAGCAGCTTGGAAGACATGAGCTCCAGCACTGTACAATAAATTCTTAGACACACCACCTTTTTTGCAATTCATTTGAAGAAGGTTTAGTGATGTTTATAGTTTTCAAAACTAATTCTGGGCATACTTTTATGCTGAGAAAAAGGAACACCCTGGAACTTCAGCCATGGGATACAAAATGAACATAGATTTTATCAACAAGTTCGATATAAGAAATATTATTTTGATCACTGCCAATCAATACCAATTTGTTATAATGCAAATATAACTACATTTTCATGACGTAAGCTCAGCAATGATTACCTTTATTTTTCTTGTGGGTGCAGCACTGATGGATCTCTAGAGACAGTTCCACAGCAATATGGAAGATGACCCAGATGACCAGTATCCAAGTGGCCCACCATGGCACCATAACTTTGCCAAAGTCCATACCAATAAATATGGTGGGAACTGGAATTGTTAGAAAAATAACAATATGTGATTTCTTTAGTCCAAGAACTCCTTACATTTTTTGTGCTAATAAACCCCAAGTGAGAGCAAAGATTGGGCCCAAGAGTCAGAACCCTTCAGCTCCACTTCTGAGATAAATTCAATCCTATAATGTTTTGATTTTTGTGTATGATCTAAATGTATAATATACATTACTTTGATTAGAACGATGTTACATTAAAAACAGTCTGACACAAAAGAAATGGCACAATTCTTACTGGCTAGAACGTTGGCAATGGTCCCAAAGGCCCAGTGGAACCAGTTGAAGACAGGGCGACATTTGTTCTCATCGGATGGACGTATCAGTGCTAAGATAGGCTGAAACAGATTTAATAAAATATTTGCTTCTTTTACCATTGATAGAAACTTATTTTTAAAAGAGATGTTTACAACAAATTAACAATGTTTAGCTTAATTTGAAAATAATACCTGATAGATAATATATTCTTTTATTGACCCAAATAAATGGCAATGTTTTTGATAACATTCTACATGTTCATTTTAAGCACATAAATAAATACACATTTTAACCAAGACAACATTGTACAATCAGAAAAATGTAAAAACAAGGCATATAGTATTTCTCTAGTGTAAAAACCAGCCACCATATCTACCAAAAAAGAAATTAATTTCCTTAGTGAAAATAATGATGAAATTAGTGATATTTTAGATGTCCTCTATATTTAGTAGACAGTACAGTGTCAAAGTGTAAACTTACATTGATGATGATGCAGACCAAAATGATAATGCCTAGGATAGGATGAGCTTTCTGTGGCAAATCAGGAGCCTGGTTGTGGAATAATAAAAATAATTCTATTATTATTCAACGACTTCACTAAAACAATCACTGCATGCAACTAATTTATCATAAGATTTGCTATCTGAATAAAATTTGACATGCTGCAATTATCACGGATGTCTGGTTTTCTCTCACTGGCAGAAATAAACATAATGACTTACTTCACTGTATCCTCCAGCTTCTACAAAGATGAGAATGATGGCTATAATCGTGACAATAAACATGGTCGCCATGCAGTTAAAATGCCCCTGAAAAACAATATAAGTGAGAATAGATATGGTAACTTCGATATACAAGGGTGCAGAAACATTTAATGCTTCTTAGAATGATTATATTCTTGTATATTTGAAATTTTAAGTTAAAAAAAAAACAACAGGTCTACAAATATTGACTTTGAAATAATGTGTATACAAAATACAATTCTGTGTATATTATACTGTGCATACACTGCTGTGTATATAATGTTTACATAGACCCCATTTAAAATCATTTAGTACATCAAATTTTTTCTTTAATGCATGATATATATTTTCCTAAAATGCCTTTAGCGTTATTATTCTCTTTTGTTTGTGGTTCTGATTTAAGCTTTCTGTCTTAATGATTTGTGTTTTGTCTAGCATAAAGCCTTACCATATCTCTTGTTTTTTAACATATTTTTTTAATATGTAAAAATGGCTTCAAATTTTGATCCATACTATATCAAGATAAAAATGAATTTAGGTACCCTATTTGTAGTTTGCTTGATAAAAAATGCACACAGACCAAGGGAGTTGTAAAAATAAAATGAATTTTTTACTCTTTGATCTAATGGATTTGCATTTGTTTTCAAATTATAATCCTGAGCGCTCTTGATTTTCGTCAAGGAAGTAAAAAAAATTGTAGAGAAAAACTTTTCTTTTACCCTTTTAAACTTTTATAACTTAAAAAAAAAAACAAACAAAAAAACTTCTTACAAAGAACCAGTATCTGTGTTCAAAGATCCTTGAATTTGGCCACATTGGTTTGTAGTATTTAGTTAGGAGCAATCCAAGGGATGCAAAGAAGACCCAAGCTAGAATCATCAGACAACCTGGCAACAGAAAGATTGTTTTAATTAATTTAGTACCAGATTAAAAAAAACAAAAAACATAAGAAATGCTGGTCATTTTTGTTGATTTAAACCCAAACAGCAATTGGTAAATTTGGAAAAGCAGCAGCATATTGGTATAAATACATTTTTTGTAATGAAATCATATATTAGTTAGGAATAAACATTTTACCATGAGCTTTGGCCAGGGGGTATCTAGCTCGGCCATGATAGTTGGAGATTCTAGAGAAATCCACAGGCTCAGCACTGGCTAATGGCAACTCTTCCACACTCATTCCATGCATTTTAGGGCTTCCTAAAAAGAAAAAGATTTTTTTGGTTCGACGGTTATACCTGTACATATGTATTTATTTACTTTTGCATGAATAAGGAGATTGTAGTCAGGAAAATTATTTATTACAAAATTTTGAATGCTTTTTAGGGTTAAAGAACTATACAAGAGAAAAATTGTGACAGTGTTGCAGCTGCACTGTCTGAGACATCCCTCTCCAATAGTTTTCAGAACAATATCCAATAAAAAATCTTTAAAATAACAAAACAAAAATACCTGTGACCTTCCCTATTTGAGTAGCTTTTCATTGTTTCTGAAGGGTTTACTTCCGGGAGCACCACCCTTAGGGCGACTTGATTGCATCTGTGATTATTTTTTTGTTCAGCTTTTGTAATAGTTTTTAAAGCTTTCTCTGGCGTCAAGGAGTGGTAAATGTGTTAAATGTCCTTTTGGGCTGATAATCTTGTGTTTTATCACGAGTAACAGCGGTTAAATGGATGTTGTGGGCTTCAACTAAATTCTCATCCGTCATCTTGGAGTCAACGGATCTGCCATATTATATGATGGATGGCGGGATCAAAGCAACAAACCAAAGACAAGTTGGCTACAGCAGTTAATATCATCCTTAAAAGCAAGGAAGTTATCTTATGAAAAAAAACACCCTACCTCTAACTGCAAATCCATGGGCAAAAAGCAGATGAGCTGGTCCACCTCTCAGTGACCTGAGCTGAGGTTCTGTTAGGTCCAGATCTCGCTTAACCCTAAAACGACAACGGAGACGTCCGTTCTCAAATGAACCCTCCTCTTCGATCAGGCCGTCATAAACGTGTCTTTCAGACTGAAAGAAACAAAAATTCAACTTTCTAACATTATAATGACACTAGACAGCTAAACTTAACAAGACCTGCTTACACTGGAACTCCCAATATAGTACAATATAGTCTCAGAATAAGGCTTTACCATCTCAAAATCATACGAAACCTTATTGTAATAGTAAATAAATATACAGTTTAATGTATAAGATAACTTTTCGCATTACATGTCTAAATAAGGTTACTTCTCAAAGTAGATGACTTACGTTTATATACAGTGCATTATTGCAAATAAAAAAAGGTGCCTGACATTTTCCACATTGAAATATGAATATGTGTTTATTCACCACTAGGTGTAGAAAGGAATTAAAACGAACAACCAAAAAAGGTTATTTTACTTTTGCTAAATTGCAAAAAAAAAAAAAAAACAACAACCGGAGTATATTTTTGTAACCCATTCTCCTAAAAATCGTAGTGCTGACAGGTCTCAGCGTACAATCGTAAAAAATATCTTTAAAAAATCATACATTGTACGCCAATAACATAAGAGTAAACAGATCTGCCAATGTGCACTATCCTCCAGATATTCAAATAAAAGAATAATTTAGTTTTGTCGACATATTTAAATCTCTCAAACACAGATAAGAAAAAGTACTTCACCCATTGTTCAATGATATTTACAGTATTTTTATTTTAACAAAGCGCCCCCCCCCCACCCGACAGTAATAGGATATCTGCCGTTTAAACAATAATGTACTTACAGCAACATAATTACTAGAGCTGGAGGTTATGTACTTTGGTATCGCATTGTTCTTCTTGGGGTCTTTGGTGTTGTACGAGAAAAACACTTCTGTCCTTTCCTTCAGAGAGTTGTGGGCGCATGTGAACACTGTGTCATCACCCTTGGTAAAGGAAGTGAAAGACAACACTGTGTTACATTTCAAAATAAAACCTCCTTACATACTTGTAACTTGAGCATTGGTATCAGGAATTAATAATAATTGGTTGGGGGAAAAAAAAAAAAGCAGCAATTTGAAAATAAACTTATCTCTGCTTACTACTACTGCACACAGTTTGATGTTGAATAGTACTCTAGCACAGCATTCCCCAAATGGTTGTCAGCGGACTGGCAGCAGACCCCGAACCTTATGTTCTTGGTCCGCACAACATAAATATTTATGGTTACATAAATTTTGAAAAGTGTTTTACAGTCAGCCAAACTTAAGAGTTTGGGAAATGCTGCTCTAACATACAAGATAATATCTAGCTGCTGTTTATTTTGTAGATGTTGCAGATATTTGTAGTTAAATAATTATTTTAAAAGAGGGATTCACACTATATATTATTATCAGGGAAACAAAAAATTGTTTTCTTCAAAATGAGATTTTTACTAAATTCTAATTCAAACAACAAGTGGCAGATGAATCATGAATTACAACTTGAGAACAATATATTCTTACCACTCAGAGCTACCTACAATATGTAATCTTTAAATACAAAGCAAGCTTTTGGTCAGCTAATCACTAATTAATTTTGTTATCACCAACGTACCATGTACTTGTCATCAGAAATACCCAATGCAACATAACGGTCACTTGCAGTGTCTACCAGCCCTCCAAGTTCAAAGTTCATTGCTTGGTTGTCTCCAGCCCAAGTGAGAATGTAGCGGCATTCATACTCAGCGCATCCTGGCGGTTCCCTGAAACATCCTTTATCATCCCCGCAAGACGAGGTATCGATAGGAGGTGTAACCTGAAACAGCATGAGAACACAGAAACTCAGAGGTTTGAAATGTACATAAGGAAAAATTAAGATCAAGATATAGGAAAGCTTGACATAAAAATGAAAATGAAAAAGTCTTCGTCCATGACCAGAACAACAAAAGAATAAGAAACTCAGCTTAGAATAAAGTTGACGTCGAAAAGTAACCGAGTAATAACCAGATCTAAATAAAAATTATGTGTAATGAGAATAGGGAATTGATAAATGCAAATTGCACAAGGATTTTGAAATCTTAGACTTACATAAAATTCAACACAGAATAATGCTAAAAAATGTGTACCTTTCGCACTGCCAGTGATGGACTCCCTGAAGACAAATCAGACAGTGGACGAGATTTCTCAGCTACCCAGAATGTATCATGATCCTCTATAAATGTAGCTCTGTGGATGGTGTAGAGAATGTCATATAATGTCTGTGAAATCTATACTTGTATGTGTAAACTAGCTGAGACCAACAATCAGTGATTAGGTTGCTGCAGTCAACTCAACAGCTTGATTGGTCCATCTCTATATTCCCTGTACTAATAAGGCACTAACCCTAACCCTAACCCTAAACCAATTTTGTTCTTTACATTTATCAATCTTTTATTCAACACACCGCCCTCACCCCACTTTTTACTTTGTGTATTCTCAGGCATTCATGATTACAACTATCCCACCAAGCAGCATCTGCCAATTAGAACTATGAAGAACAACCGACTTCCCGCCATGACCCCTGGACATACATATATAATCAATAATTACCACCTCTTTTTACAATTCAAGAATGTTATGAAATAGTCGTCATCTCTCTCCCACACACCCACCTCCTCTAATTTCAGGTTAATCAAGTCGACTGATATCTTTATACTAGCAACTAGTTATGATATAAGTCCTACCATACGTTACTCTGGTTTTAGAAACACTAATATTTTAATGTAGCATTACCTGAATTCCACATCACCATAACCTCTGTTGGCTGTCCAAACAAATCTCAAGTTTGATTTCAGTTGGGTGTCCACACTGACAATGGCATACTGCAATTACAATACAACAGGTAAGCATCATGACACTCTGTTCAATGTTCAATTACAGGGATAACTATAGATGCAGACAAAACAAAGTGACATGTTATATTGAACATATGGTCAAATTGAAGGGATATAAAAAATTTCTAAATATTCAAACAACGCTGATCGACGAAGATATGTATTTCACATTTATATCCGCAGGACACCCATAATAATAATAATAAAGTTTATTTGAAAGACACGCTTCATCCCCAAAGGCTCCAAGCGTGGTACAAAGTCAACCACATCTATTTTTTTACCACATTTAAAACAAACTCAACACTACAAAAACTAATTACAAGCATACCAAGTCAAAGTCTTTCTACCCATTTCAATCATAAGCAACACAGCCAATATGCATTAACTGGAAAATGTGGTAGACAACATCATTCCAGAAGGTGTTTGCGGAATTGATGTGTCTTTAAATTGGTTGTTTCTGAGAGCGACAGGAAGGGCGTTCCAAATTGTTGGGCCAGCAAATGCAAAAGTGCGCTTTCCTAAGTCTCAAGGCGAACACGTGGTGTCGAGACTTTGCCACTATCGGATGAGCGGAGTTGTCTAGTGGGTACATAAGGCGTCAGTAGCTCTTTGAGATAGGACGGCGCCAGGTCATGTAAGCAGCGGTAGCAAAAAGTTGCAATTTTGTAATTTATGCGAGCGCGGACCGACAGCCAGTGCAGCTCTCTCAGAAGTGTTTTAGCATTGTCGAACTTGCATTTGCGAAGAACAATGCGAGCTGCATTATTCTGTGCTATTTGAATTTTATCCAGGAGTGTAGCTGGAAGACCCACCATGAGAGAATTGCAGTAGTCCATGCGTGATAGCACAAATGCAGACATCAGCCTCTTTGTTGCATCAATTGTTAAGAAGGGCCTGATGTGACTAATCCTCTGCAGCTCTAGAAAAATCGCTTTCCATAGCATGTTAGTGTGACTTTCCAAAGTTAGTTTTCTATCTAGGTAGACACTCAGGTAATGCACTGTTTGAGCTAACTCAATACGCACACCTGAGAGAGTAAGTGATGTTGTGTTATTTGCAGATGTTTGCTTCTGAGCGCTAGCAATGGGGATCAGCTCAGTCTTATCATCATTCAATTTGAGCTTGTTTATGGTCATCCAGTGCTTAACTGACTCCACTGTGTTCTGTGTCAAACTGAGAAGCTGAGGGAACTGAGAGGGGATCACGGATTGATGAAGTTGGTCGTCGTCTGCGAACAAGGTATTGCATGTCAAACTGCTTGATCACTACACCCAGGGGCTGAATGTGCATCATGAAAAGCAACGGGCCTAGGACCGAGCCCTGGGGTACTCCGTATTTGATTTCTTCGAGGTCAAGCCGTTTGAAATAACTGGATGGATCCGATTTGTCAGATACGATCGGGACCATCTCAGGATGGTATCAGAGAGACCGAAAATTTTTTGCAGACGTTGAAGAAGTATGCCGTGGTCAAGCGTATCGAAAGCTGCTGATAAATCAAGTAGTGACAAAAGATCTATCTGGCTCTCATCACAAGAAGGTCGTTTAAATCGCGCAACAGTGCTGTCTCAGTAGAGTGATGCGCCTTGTATGCTGACTGGAAAGGTTCAAGCAAGTCGCACTGAATAAAGTGATCCAGGAGTTGGCGGAGAACGACTTTTTCTAAAATTTTGGATACAAATGGTAGATTTGAGACGGGGCGATAATTTTCCATCACATTTGGGTCAATATTAGCTTTCTTTAACAGTGGCGTGACAACCGCCTCTTTAAAGAGGATGAAACAATACCAGTTGTCAAGGACTAATTCATGATACAAGTGATGATGGGGACTATTTCATCCAGACATTCATACAACAGCCCTGCTGGAAGAGGGTCAAGCGAACATGACTTTCTTGGGGTATCAGCCAGGATTTTCCTCACATTCGATTCATTGACTTCAACAAATTCACCCATAGGAGAGCCGTTAAAGAGTGAGAATTCTGGGGCAGCATCGATGCAACTGTCAAGTCTCACCTTGATCTACTTAGCTTTCATAATAAAGAAGTCATTTAGAGCGTCTGGCAGCTCACCTACAGCAATTTTATTTGGCAGAGATGTATCCTTGTATTTACCTGTCAGCAGACCCACAATGCCAAATAAGTCCTTGCTTGAGCTGCTGTCTATCATCTGATGACTAATATGCTCAGTCCAACTTTTTGGTTCATTCCCTTTGGTCGGTGCACGGTCAAACCCGACTTCTGCCATTGGCGTTCTGCACGTCACTGCTTCTGCTTAATTTCGCGTCCTTAATTTCAGGCGAGAGCCATGGGGCGAAAGGGCGGTCCGTAAAGCGCCGTGTGGCCAGTGGTGCATGTTTGTCTATGATGACTCAAAGGCCATTGTTGTAGTCTGTCACAGGGTCTTTTTCACTGCAGCTGAGGGCGGCGACGTCACATCTGAAGGCCACTATATCAATTTTTCAAAGGTGACAGTGCGCAAAGGGTGCACAGGCTTCCTCAAGTCAAAGAATATGGGAAAGTGATCAGAGATCATTTTATCTTCAATAAGAAGGTTGCAGATCACAGCTGACAACAAGCCAATCCAGAATGGGAACCTTTCTTCTGTGTCGGGACTCTGACAAGCTGGATCATACCCTATGTGTCAAGAGCTGATTTTAGAGTCTTTACATAGCTGTCAGTGGTGGAATCAAAATGGCTATTGGTATCACCTATTATGATGACGTTGTTATTTGTAGAGGCGTACGTGTCTAGGAGTTGTATAAACTCAGCAGTAACCTGGGAGACCTTCAACTTATTTCGCTTATTGGGAAGTGGCCTGTATTTGTACAGAAGCGTAATCGCTTGGTCACAATAATTAAGTTGCATCTTGCAAATCTCAAATGAAACAAACTGGTCCGATTTTGAGAACGCCACACTTTTCTTGATGGAGCACCTGTAAAGGACGGCAATACCCTCGCCACTGCGTGACAGCCTTGGGCAAGAATGAAGGAGGTAGTCCGGGTTTGTAAGTTCTTGCAGCTTGACATCTCCGATCTGCTTAAACCACGTCTCCGTAATGAACACCAGGTCCTCAAATGTCTTGTTCCTGCATGACTGCTAGTTGAAATACAGCACCCCGAAGTGCCGTGATTGCGGCCTCACAAAAGGCTGACAGTGGACAACTACTAGATTTGATTTCGTCACGCCCCGACGAGGTGGTGCGTAATCATGGGCCACTGGCTGTGACCTTAGCCTTGACACGTAGGGAGCGGGCAAGATTGATGACACAGTAGGTGGCTGATTTCCGTTGTCCTCCTCATTACTGAAAGCTTCATCAAAAGGCTCTAAATAACGATCACCACCAGCAATAATATTGTCACTGCAGTCGACATGGCGGTATTTCAGTGAACGCTGTTTACGATGACCAATGCAATAAAGACGCGTCTTCTTTCGTCGTGTGCCTATTGGCTTACTTGATACCTGCTCTGTCGCGCAGTTTAGGCCAAGCTGAAACAGTCTTTCAATCACTTGTACACACTGGGTGTCAACAAAAACAGTGTCGAAGAGCAGTAGTTGAGCCTTGGTATAGCGCAGACTGAGAGGCCTGCAGTAGTCTGGATGTGCAACTGCGTCTCTATAGTATCTACTCATAGGCCTGGCTATGATATTTCTATCCTGAGTGGAAGCTCACTAGAAAGGGGCACACATGCTGTAATGTAAACACTGTGTTCACTCGCTTTTTTTACATAAGAAAAAACAAACACAGACACATATCTCAGGAATCCATTATTCGATTTTTAAACCAATTATAGCACTGCATGGCCCAGAACATTCCAAAAATGATGATACCAGAATTTCCACATAAAAGCCATATTGACACAGAAACTACAAACAATGTGCAATAGTCAATTTCAAGCCTGTTAGGTGACAGGTGAACACATAACACATCAGCATCAATATTACATAGCTACAAGAAAAATTCAAGAATATTCTTCTCTTTGCTGTGTGCACATTATACCAATTTCATTTCCTTCTTGAGTGGATGAACTAAAAAAAAATTGTCAAATTTTGAGTTTTTGTTTACTGATGGCTAGCAAGTTTCCCCCAAAAAATGGATTCAGATGATGCATTTGATAGCAACTTAGATGTAATTCATGATAATTCATTTATTAATTTTATTAACTCTTTACTGAGTTTAACTCGTACGAAATAAATATAATCGGTCTTGAGAAAATTATTGAGTTTACTGTATGAGACATGAGGAGAGAAGGGGTATTTTACTCATTGCTCTATAATGTCAAAACTCACAGCAGTGACATGAGGAGAGAAGGGGTATTTTACTCATTGCTCTATAATGTCAAAACTCACAACAGTGACACGAGGAGAGAAGGGGTATTTTACTCATTGCTTTATAATGTCAAAACTCACAGCAGTGATAGATGTCCCAGGAGCACCGTCTGTGCGAATGCAATCAGTTTTTGTTTGGTAATCTTGATCAGGCAGCAATTTAAACTGACCGATAGGTTTCTGACCAATCCTGAATTTGTGTCCATCGTAGTTATAAGCAGCCAAAATGAAAGATCGAAAATAGCGACCACCTATTGATGTTAAGTTTACTGAAAAGGAAAACATTTGTTGAAATGTTAAGACTTACAAGAAAACAGAAATAGTTTTATTTTTCCTTTCTTTAACTTATTTTTTTTTTAAAGTCTATGTCTCTTTTTAAGAAACATTTTTTTTTCAGTGAACCCTGAACTTAAATAAAAATAAAATGCATACAAATTTCAGCTGCCAAACAAAAAGCAGAGATAATTCATTGAAAGCATCGCGGTTAATACTGTTATGTTAAAATTCCAATATAAATGTACTAAGTTCCCCATTTTGGTGTTTAAATTTGAGAATTATTTTAATGATTCTCTTCTTTTGATTGTGTGTTTATAGTGAGATAGTGGAGATAGCCTAACCTGTTACCTTTTATTTATGAAAGATGAGCTTACTTTGGGCCAAAGAAGCACATATTGTGTTCAATATATAAGCTGATAATGCATCACAGGGAATCCTATGAAAAGAACGAACTTTACACACATACCTCTGACTTCTGTGTTAGGTCGGTAGCTTTCACCAGACACAACAATGCGGAAGGGAGAGGGCATCACTTGGGGCAGGACATTACTGGGGACATCAGAAGGCTTGAGGGTGTCACAGATACAACATTTTGTGGGCTCAAAAACTACAGCTGAATGACTTAGGGTAAGGCATGATATAGCCCAGGCCAGATATATCAGGCCAAGGGCAGGCACCATTGTTGTAGAGGATTACCTCAGTTCTGTGGTAGAAAAAAAAAATGTTAGTATTTAAACACCAAATGTTTATAATGAAATGTTGCTTCAATTAAAAAACATTCTAGCAGAACTATTAAAAAAAAAAAAAAAAAGAAAATTCATGAAATGAATTAGCTTAAATTCCACTAATTTCACAAAATTGTATAGTTCTCCTTTGTGGCCAACTAAAATACTAATAATGTATTCTGACTTATAAGTAACATCTGTAAAAACATAAGTAGCATAAGTAACAAGTACTTTACTTAATAAACTGCTGCATTATTGAATTATTCACAACTTAGAAGTTAGAGACAAACCTTATAATTTATTGATAGCCCAAATTCCGTAACATAAAATAATGAAAACAGCCATTGAAAAATATTTGACACACAATGTGATGTTCTATGGTTTGAAAGCCCTGCTCCACTCCTTAATCCCACCTACACACATAACATAACATAGCAGTTTGTGTTCAGCCAACCCAGAGAGCATGTCAAGTAACCACATTCAAAGGTGGCCAACCCCTTACTGAATGCACACTGCAACTCTTTATTAACTGCAACATCATTATACAGTGGATAACTATGAACTATGAGAGCAGATACAGGATTAATCAGTTTTATGGCACAAGGCACATCCAATTCAACCAAATTAGTATACTGTATACTGAAATTTTTTCAAAACATAATGGCATCTACGTTTGTACTTAACAGATGCAAAACATGATACTGTAGTATAATATGTATGTGCTGAAAATCATTGCACAAATAAATTTTCTTACAACTGTTACTTATCTAGAGTTTGAGCTAGTCCCTATTAATTTTATAGTAGGAAACTACACACCAGACACAGGTTGGCTTTGAAGCAGTGGCACACCAAGACACCTGCCTGCTATATTTACCCTGCATGAGCTCATTCAGAGGGCACACCAGCCCAACCCCAGTGTGAGCCCAGTGTCATTAACTGAAACTGTGGGCTGAGGAGGGCAGGAGTGGAGAAGGATAAAGTAGGTCACATCAAATGATGAATCCCTTTTGTTGGGTTGCACACAAACAAATATCTGAGTATTATAAACTAAATCACAACAACTATTGGGAAAGAGAATCTATTTAATAGTGGCTTTTACTGCTAAATCAAATTAATTGAATTAATTTTTTATACATAAACTTTTATATAAACTTGTATATAAACTATTTTTCAGAGGCTGATTAAATTCCTGAACCAGTTTAACCAGAAAAAAAAATAGCTTACACTTACACCACAGCACAAAGTTGAGCTTGGCTTAGATCATTTGTGTTGGCTTTCATGTTTAACTAGGCCATAGGGCTGTCTAGGTAACATACAAAGTGACTCAGAGCTATTACTCTTCAAACACATTCCTTCCCTCACTATTCTTATACATGTAAGAGCAAATTGTCTCTGGTGTTTTGATGTTATGCAGAAATTATTTGATATTTGTGTGAAAAAAATATTTCTTAATTGAAAAGGTGAAAACTGAATATGGCTTCATGCATTAATTTCGAAAAATAAATAATTGAATAAAAAATAACAGCTAAAAAAAACCAATGTTTCCATTTAATATTATTTAAATTCTGACTCTAAATAACAACTTCCACCAAAGATGTCTGCATGGGTATCTGATGGCAGGACAAGTGTTTAACATTGAGGTTTTGAAACTTGCCAAAATGCATAGCAGTTTCTCAAGTCTTAAAAAAAGCAACCCCTTCAATTGGTTAGGCCATGTAAGGAGATGGAGGAAGGCCATATTGCACAGGATCTGCTGTATGGAGAGTTGGCAGAAGGGGCAAGACTTATTGGACTGCCGCGGCTGTGATTTAAGGAACACGAGGGAAGCCAACAAACAAATCAATGAATGGGAGATCATCACTGAGCACCATTCCAACTGGTGAACAGCAGTGTATGAATGAGTCAAAACAGCAGAAGATGCAAGGGAAAAAAGCAAAAAGAGCATTATGGAAGGCCAAATTTTACCATGAGTCAAGGTTCTCATGCAAGCAATACAGCCAAGACCGCCATTCCAGAATCTGCCTTGTAAGCCGTTTGATAAAACGTCAATAGCTACTCCATCGCAAAGATGGAAGGATACCATACATATATACTTAAATATATGTAAAAATTGCTGATTAAATGTCCTTAAACCTATCATTTGGTTTAAAATTAATTTTTCTCCTGCACTACATCTTTAAAAAGACATTATTAAAATTCATAAAGGTACACAATAGCAGATCTTTGCTCATTAATGAATATTGATTTTAAAAAATACTACAAAGTTTAAAAGAAACTTTTTAAAAAAAATGAAAAAAAATCTAGCAAAATTAATTAAAGCTCAATTTTTACAATTTAATGTCAAGTCAGGTTGAAAAATAATTTGAATTCAATTAATTCTTATTCACAAGTCTATGATAAAATTATTGCCAAAAGCACATCTGCAAACATTAGGCCTTTTAGTAATAATATTAAATATCTAAGAGAAGGCAAACTCTGAATTTAAACCAGGAGCTAGAATGATCAACAAATTGATCGTGGGCCCCTCAAATATAAGAAGAAGAGATATAACTTCATTTAGGGCAGTAAAAGATTTTACAGAGTTTATTTAGTGCCCATCCCCATCTCATGAGTGTAAATCTGTTTTAGGACTTCAGCTTCAATATTGTGATCTGTAGGGTTGACTGTACATTGTGCAATCATGTTTTAACAAAATATTTCTTGCTAAGTTCATATCAAGGGTGGGTATTATTTTAATCCTCTAAACTTCTCTTTTAGATATAGGGTTTACTTAACATTATTTTTAAGGGGATTGACAGCTGCATCAATCCCTCTCTGTTCTGTTCAAAACCAAATAAAGACAATCAGAGAAAAATTCACTTTTAAATCATTTTTTTTTTTAATGAACAGTTTGTCAGGAAAAGGTGCACACATCTTATTTTCCACCACATTTTCATTCAACTGCACAGAGCTTATAGAATCTTTGCCTTGCCTATTTCACTTTTAAGTGTCTTAAAATTCATAAATAACTATTATGAAAACAAAAGCACATCATTTGATTTTGTTTCCATGGATTTGATGACAAACTTAAGCTAGCATTATCTAATTTAATGTAATTGACTCTTTGCCGTGGCTTAGGACACTTCTGTAAAAATGCGATTTTATTATTAACATTCATGAATTGTCTTGTTCATATAGGTTAATACTTGAAGTATAGCATGATAAAATAAATCTATACCTATAATTGACTATAAAAATTATGTGCTTACTAGTATTTCAACAAAATATATATATTTTAAAAAAATGCTGTACCATCAAATTAAATAATCAATATTTCAGACAGTAGACTTTCACTAATGACTGATTAAGTTTAAGCAGGGTTTCCCAACCTTTTCTAAATTCAGACCACTTAGTACTTGTTCTTGGTTGACTAAGTCGTGCAGCCCCACAAAAGTAAAATGCGTTTTGAAATTGATTTGATAAAAATGTACTATTTACTTTTATATCGAAATTGCCAATCAATAAACATTATGTGAAGATGTGTGATAAAATTGTCTTATTTGTGACGATTGGGGGAGGGGGGGGGGGAGTCTGCCAAAATAACATGAAGTTAACATTAAAGGGTGGCCCCTTAGGCTACATAAACTTTATGACAAAGTAAAATTTGAATGACATGACATGATAAAACAACATTCATTTCATAACTTAAAAGTTAATGGCTCCACTGTTCTTACAATAATCACTTTTTCTCACACCCCCTGAAATGTCACATTGCACCAGGTCTTTAAACCTTGATTTAAAGGATCTTGCCCTGCTCACCCAAGCACTGGACTAAACAGTTTGAATTAAAAATATTAAGGCCTATAGCCTATATGGTATATAATATGCCCTTGTATTTATACACACCACACATTGACTATTATTATTATTAGTTGTGGTTTTATTTTTTGCGGTACCCCAGCCTATGGCTAGGCTCACCACGCTGTACATACAATTTAACAAACATAATCATGAACTTAAAAATTAACATACATTAATTAACTAAAACAAAACAAATGTATATTCACTTCACACGTCTAAGAACTATTTACATGTCGAGCCATGGACAGCTACCCAGCAGTATCATTTATCGATCAGAAGGGGGGGGGGGGAAATCAGTCAGGATAGTAAAGTTTAAAGAGATGTGTTTTGAGTGAAGTTTTGAAGGCAGTGGTGATCTTGTTAATTTGTCTAAGAACTATTTACATGTCGAGCCATGGACAGCTACCCAGCAGTATCATTTATCGATCAGAAGGGGGGGGGGGGGAAATCAGTCGGGATAGTAAAGTTTAAAGAGATGTGTTTTGAGTGAAGTTTTGAAGGCAGTGATGATCTTGTTAATTGTGAATGTGTAGTGGAAGAGAATTCCATTGTTTGAGGGCACAGAAAGCAAACGATCATTCACCTTATGTTTTTGTGTGACAGAAATAATACTCGCGTCTGTGGAGGAGCGAAGCTGTCAAAGGGGTGAATAGACAGAGAGAAGTTCGGTTAGATAGGAAGGGGAGGAATTAGAGAAAAAGTTGTGGCAGAGAACAAGTTGTGACAGAGAACAGAGAGTTTGTAGTCAATCCGTGCTTGTACATGGAGCCAATGAAGTAGTGGTGTGACGTGATCACATTTTTTTGCCTTTAGAATTACCCTAGCAGCTGAGTTTTGAACCTTTTGTAATTTTTCTAGGAAGTGTTTTGGTGAACCTGAAGAGAGTTACAACAGTCAAGACGAGAGAGATTTAGAGCACAGACTAGGATTTTTGTTGCACTAACTGTGAGGTAGTGGTGGGTGGAGCTGATCTGACAAATAGCGGTGTATGCAGAGTGACAAATATGAGAGATATGATTATCGAGAGACATGTTATTAGACAGAATATAACCAAGATTCATAGCGGAGAATGTGAACTGTATGTCGGAGTTACCCACATGAAATGAAGTGGGGAGAGTTGACTTAATGATGATTTGTGATCGTGATTAAGGAGTGCTTCCATTTAGTCATCGTTAAGCTTCAACTTGCTGAGTGTCATCCATGTCTTGACATTATCAATGATCTCCTGCAAAGTCCGGACAGCAGAATCGACAAGAGAGGGATGGGTATGCTTGTATAGCTGTGTGTCATCTGCGAATGGCTGGCTCTCCAGAGCAAGAGGAGCAGTGACCTGATATACATTGTGAATAGAGCCGGGCCCAAAACGGACCCCTTTGGCACTCTGTACACCAAGTCAGCACTGCTGGAGAGACAGCCATTGACAGCTTCAAGCTTTTACCAATAGAAACTGCCTATGTATTTTTATTACTATTACTATGCCTAAGTATTTATTCAGTCGGCAATGGTCTTGGACCTCTGACTTGGGGTTCAACTCAAGTTTGTAATATAATTATAAGCATAAGTTATAAGAATGCTTTATTTAGGCCTAAATTGTAAATGAATGTCAATTTAAACAATTTTACTAATGTTTTAGAATAGATCTAGGCCCATGCCTATGATGTGAATGTCCACTATTGCCACTAAGTCTAAACTAAATTTAAAAAATGGGTTAATTATATTTATATTCATATTATTATTATTCATTTTCAAAATGAAAAGCCTAAGGCCTAAGGCTAAGGACATGAAATTTGTTTTTTTAAATGATTGAAACTAAAAAAAAAAACGGAAGAAAAAAAGTTTATTATTATTAATATAGGCTAATAATAGATTTAATAGTATACTTTATACCTCTCACAAAGTGACTTACAATAGTCAATAGTTACTATATAAATTTAATATTATATTCATAATAATAATTAGCCTACTAATTATTAATTCTACAAGTATGACTAGTATACTACTAGTATGAATGAGTATGAGTATGATTAAAAATGATGAACCAGATGACAAACCCTCCAACTCACCACCACCACTCCTTTTCAAGAACAACACACCTGAAACATACTGTTAGTTTTCAACCGAGAATCTTCAACCCACTGCTACGTATCTGTCTACTCCTACACAGTGCACTCCCTCTCTTCTCCCCTGACTCTGAGACTACTGACTCTACCTGGTACTATCTACGTTTTATATTGTTTTTGTAGCAGATAAAACCGTTATTACAAATGTCTAAGTTTGAGGTTAACATTATCACACCAAAATTTACATTGCATCAATAACTTACACACAATAAGAACTAAGAATTTAATAATCCAATGAAACTTAACTGGGTAAGTTCCCCATCAACACCTATGCTCTTTACACTTTATTTTAGCAAGCAATGAAAACCTGTTTCCTTTTTCGGTACATATGACCTTTAGCGGAAATAACCTCCCATTGAAAAAATTACCAGGTCAGAGTTTGAGATACTTGACAGGATTTTTTTAAAAGTTAATAAGAAACATCCCCATTGGCCACTGATGGTATTTCATAACGGTAATGAACTCATAAGTTAAAGCCAAATTTTGATCTGAATTTCATTATCTAAAGATTGAAAGGAAATAAAATTCCAAGATGTTTCAGACCTTTAACTTTAAAATAATAGGCAAATATTTGTTATATTATAAGTATGGATTGAATATAGACAATATAGAATTTATAGTGGAATTGGGGCAACATTTAAAATCAGAATATAAATAATATTATATAAAATATATGCCTAGGTTCTTAGGCTATATATATCCATACAGTAATAGTTATAATATCTTAATATCTTGAGCAGCTCCATGTGAAGTATGCAGACTGAGAATATATGTTTATTTTTTTTGGCTTTGAGAGACAGTATAGTTCATTGTGAATCTGAATCTGATCCTCTGGAGGTCAAGGGGCAAAACTTATATTTTGAAAAATGAAATATAAATTTCAAATTTAACAAATAATATATAAAATATGCCGTATTATGTTAAAACTTTTAGTGTTAATATTTCGGAGCAAGTCCCAAAATTTAACGAAAACGGAAGATAATTCTTTGATTATTTAACAATTATTATTTTTCAAATTACCTCCCTTCAGATTAACACATGAAACAGCATGAAACATTTTGTAAAAAAATAAAATACAAGAAAATGCTTGGAAAGCTCGGTATTTTCTAAATTTTACAATTTCAGAGAAATTAAATACTTCTAGAGAATGCACTATGACCACTTACCTAGCATATAGACCAATCGGCCGACGGAGAAGTCTTAGAGCTGCTAGATTGACTTACATTATTAAGATACCCCGAATTGTGTTTCCACGCTCCAGTTTATTATATTTCTTGGATTATCATCTGATCTCTTAGAACTTCGAGATACGCCAAAAAAAAAAAAATATTTACCACACAATGTAGAAAAGGGCCTCAAACCTTGTGAGCGGGGGGAGGTGGGGGGGGGGGGTGTTGGCAAACCTCCCCACCCCCTCCAGCATCAAAAGTCATTCAGCTTGTGGGGGGGAGGGGGGGGACAAGACTTAAGATTCAAGGCATTTCACTGGATCTTATCAATAGCACACAATGGCGTGTCTCTTGTCACTTGGCCATTTGCTGAGCTTTCATTGAAAGTGTAGACAGCGCCGGTATTCACTGGCGAGTCATTCGATTCTCATCGGTTTCGACCGAACAGGTTGTTGAAAATCCGTCCATAAGTTCCGTCGCATGAAAAATAAAATTAAAAATTCAAACAATTCATTCTTCCTTCTGTCACAGAGGCACTGTTGGGCTTCAGCTGGCCCAGGTTGGCGTCTGCGAACCTAATGTGACAAACCAGTATCTGCTTCTGTATTACGATTTAAACTTTAAAAAAAAAACACCTTTTTTTTTAAATCATACATTTTTTACTCACAAATAAGCAGGGAGGTGGGATGGAAAGGGATTTTAAAATATTTTTTGTATTATCAAAGACTTTCTTTCTAATTGCATTTCCATCTTGTGATTGGAGCGTTATTTTTTTATATTTTTTTTTGTTGACATGCGATAAATTTTTGGTCAGTCGATGGTTTTCTCGTGCAGTGGTCACCTTAGAGGCGTTGATCGTCTCTTTACAACTGAGTTGTGTCTGCATCGCGCCATCTTCGTTCCACGGTGTGTAAGTAGGCGCGCTCATGTAAGACCTGTAGGACTTAGGGGATTTAAAATGAAAAAAAAGTATATAATACTTCTCTTGTCGATAATATAAAGATTAAAATTTCAGTAGTAAAAAGTAGGAAATATAAAATTATATAATAAAATAATTTTTAAAAAAATATTTCTATAAAAAGTGGAGTTCAAACGCACTTAATTAGTAAGAGAATAATGACATATTCTTTAAATGCATCACGCAAAGACAGCTGTGCACAAAATATTAACAAGAATTAATAAAAAATTAAACATATGTAAGTTTTGTCCACATTCAATTCGACTCCCTTCGCTGCATAGTTTGCTCATCTACACTCCTGCACAGTTTTTACTTTGCGTACTGAATTGTAAGAAAATTTAAAATATATTCTTATTTTTAGTACGTTTTACTTCGTCTCTGATAACAGTTTATATATAGGGGGCCTATGTTAATGATGGATTGGCATGATAGGAGGAGGGCTGCACATTGTCTTTTGAACTCTCTGTGAAACTCCACCGACGTGTGTAAGTAAAATCTCCTGTATACACACAGATCCAATATTCAATGGACACACACAAAAATTAACCATCCTTGGTTATTATGAAGCATTCGTTCATGGGTTCGTGAGCGCGGCTTAAAGACTGCGTTATGACAATCACTCACTTACTCGATTAACAGCCAATACTATGGATCACATAAAGAAAAGATAACAATAGATAGAAAATTGCTGCTTAGAGAGACCGCATTGATGAAATCGCTGATCAAATTAAGGGCCCCCAGAAATAGTAGTCCGTTACGGGGAAGAAAAGGGGTGGTGTATGCTAAACTGGGATGACCTTTATCGCCTCAACCCCCCCAGGAGACGAGGAGTGAGCCTCCTGGTTCGCCGGTATGCATTTTTCATCATGGCATACTATGTCCTGCTATTAAAAGTCAGTCCGATATCGATCTGCTGAAGCTTTAACGATACCACAGAACAGCCCCCCCCCTCCTTTTTTTCCAGCTGACAGCTGTGATACCAGCTTTGCGTTTTATTATAGTTGGGATGTTGTTTTTTGTTTGTTTGTTTGTTTGTTGTTGTTTTTTTTTTTTTTGTTGTATTTTTGGAATTAAGTCTCCAGGAAAACATATATTATCAGTCAGATGGTAGGCATGCGTGTTATCGAAAAGATTCCTTGTTCATATATTATATATAAGAATGAGCTGTGCAGACCGTAACGCCAAAGAACCGAACATATTTAAATACGTTCGGATTCTAAAGAAAGGCATCATAAATATTTTCTATTATTTTACGGAAATCGAATAAATTTAAGTGCGCAAAAACTATCTTATATCCGCTTTTATTTTAGTAAAAGTTTAAGTATTATTATTAATAATTACAAATACATTTAAAGTATCAACTAAGGAACTATTTTAAGCATTTTATATGTGTTTGAACATTATGAGAAAAAAATATGATCAAAGAATGACACCAGAATCACATTTATCGGGAAAACCCAAAAATCAGTTGTTTTTAGTGCGTTGTTGATATTGCGAAATAAAATATAAAATTAATTGGTTCTAAATAAACACGCAACTAACGTCATAGCGCGAATCGCTTATTTTAGCCCAAACTCTTAAGTTTCTTTGATTCAATAGTTGTGCGCTACAAAAATGATTATGAATTTCCCCCTTCTTTAAAGTAAAATTAATCAATATAATTGATTAAAATTGTTAATAAATATATTTAAATCCTATGGTATTAAATTTGTGAGGAAAAAAAATGTTACATTCTCTTATTATTACAAATAAACATATGTTTACCAATTAAGAAAATCAATGGCGTTAACAAAAGGAGGGTACATTTATATAAGTATACCCATGAATATCAAAACCCAATCATTTTACACACTTTAAAAATTAATTTTGATAAATGTAGATGGGTTAATATTTTCTTTCGAAAAAAATGAAAATATATTTTTTTGTTTTTACTTTGCGAAAAGTAAAGTGGGTGTGTATTTTTATGAAATAACAATAAAAAAAGAAACACCTAAGTCTGTCATAGACGTGGAAAACGGTTGCGAGATTCTTCTTTAGATAAAAGAATTCTTTGTTTTACGATTTACTGATAATGCATATTTTTAAAAAAAAGCAAAAGGTAGTTTAAATTTTTGATGAAGATATCAATATAGAAAAATCCGTTAATATAAAATATATTTATATTATATGTGGAGTTTTGTTGTAAATTTAAGAATATGTTTTCACAATTTTAGCTCAAGGGCACGAAAAGGGGTAAAACTTAAGAATTTCTCCAGCGTTGAAATCGTCCGTCAATTAATTTCTTTGGTGACAAATTTGATATAATTAGTGATAATTTAGAAAGGGTAATTTAAGGTCATGTTTAGAGAGAGAAAAAAATGTAGTTGAGAGGTGTGAAAGGGAGTAGGGTATCGTATAATAAATACCAGATAAATACTTCTTAAAACTTAATGATGTTAGAAACGTAAATATCATTACATATAGATACTTTTTTTTTTTTTTTTAAAGGAAAGAATTGTGATGAGTTTTTGCAATAGCAGGTAGAAATTATCGCAAAGGACCTACCATTATTATCCCGATAATATCGGGTCATATATTCAAGTAGAAATAATAACACAAACGTATCAATCCATTGTATAGGATTGGAAACTTACAGGCACTGTCGGATCAGTTCCGGCACATCCCATTTTAATATATTTAGGTTACGTTTAACGTTACCCTTAAGTTAATTGTGATGGCAACTTACGTTCAGAAGAGTGTGGTACTCGCCCTACTCGAAATGTTTTAAGCTCTGGCATAGGAAGAGAATTGGGGGGGGGGGAGCACAGAGGGCGCTTGAACTCGTGGGGCGGCATTTTCGATCCACCGAATGTGGTATAATTCATATGGGTTAGGTTTCGCCTGTAACCTGTCATATAATATGTTTGAAGGTTTTCGTGATTGAGAAGGGGTTTAAGGGGAGGGGGTTCAAATTAAGGACTGCCCCGGGCGCTGCAAACATTATCAACTTTAGTATCACAGTATTTACGATAAACATATGGTAATGGGTTTGATGAAAACAGAGATAGTATCAATATGGTATAACCTTGGTTTAATTTAAATATATTTTTTAAATGTATGTCGGTATTTTT